GGGGGGGGGGGGACAAATTGATGGGACGTTTTATTTATCGAAAAGTGATGCTTTTAGTGGAATTAGTTGCATTTGAAAAAAAAAAAAAGCCACAAAGCTATACGGCTGTTTTAGACAGCTGAAAAGCACAATAATATGTTTTCATGCTTGTGTGAACATTCATGTCTAAAAATAGAGGTCAGTGGTGGCATGTTCACCTGTGTGTGCTCAGCCATGCTTGTTGGATAAGATTATGCATGCAGGACAACACCGGGGTGATGTATTATAGCAAAACAAAAAGTCTTTCATCATCACGTAGCTGCTGAGTTTGTTGTATCTCTCTCTCGCTCTCTCTCTCTCTTTCTATCTCTCCCTGTCACTAAATGAATAGCTGACCTGGGCACCTCCGAAAAAATCCAATTTGTGTTACAACAAAGACTCGAAATATTACAGGGGGGAGGACAGGGGATTGAGGGCAGATAGACTGAGACAGATAGGGAACAGGGGCAGCGTGGAGAGCAATGGGGATTACTTTCAGGGAAATGATGGCGACAAGGAAGAGGCGAGGACGGGACGAGGGCAATTCTGGAAAAAATAAAGATAAGATGGAAAGACATGGCAGAATAATACAATATTTTGACGTAGAGATGGGGAAGAAAAAGCACATCGCACGAAGGACGAATACAAACTGAAGAAAGAAAAGGTAGTTGAAACAAAGGGCCCGGGCAACAGGAGGAGTGCTCTCATGTGATGAAGGGGGAAAAGGAGGAGGAAGAGAAGGAGAGAGAGAGAGGTCGACGTGTTACAGGTAGATAACGCAAGAGAGGTGAAGTTCAGGAGGTATAGAGTGTCACCTAAAGGACCGAGAGATAGCGAGCGGGGGCAGAGGTGCAGGAACTCAATCCCAGAGACGGGACAACAGCTGATGATAAAAACCTCCTCACCTGCACACAACCAAGGGAGAGATATGGACAGAAGCACGATGCAACACTGAGGAAAACACTGGAAGAAATACTGAAGGAAGAAACAGGAGGACTTTTGAGCTGTCATTTTTCCTGGAATCCCTTCATTCATTCTTTCCTTTTTTTTTAACCTGGAACAAAGAAAAGACCTCTGCATCAGTATTTTTAAACAATTTCTTGAGAGAAACTGACAAATCTGATGACCTCTTTAGCTGACTCTGTTGGGAATTTTAGCACATATAGATAAAAGATAAAAGAGAGGAGAGCAGGGGAAGAGAGAGGGCAAGGGAGGGGGAGGGCGAGCGAGGGAGACAGAGAGAGAGAGAGAGAGAGAGAGTACGTGTGTGCGAGCCTGTGACAGCGAGATGTTCATGATCATTCGAGAGCCGTCCGCCGGAGGAGGCGGTGCTGGAGTGATGAGCGCGCCACCGGAGAGGAGTGCAAAACAGGTGTGTGTGTGGGTGTCTCTCTCTCTCTCTCTCTCTCTCTCTCTCTACATATATATATATATATATACATAGGTGTGTGTGCTATATAACTACTGTGTATGTGTGTGTACAAAGTATTTATGAGTGTAATGTTCTCTGTTCTGTCCTCACAAACACATTTTCTTCTGCTCTTCTGCTCAGTTTTGCATGACTTTATGATGGTGTTCCACTAAACTCAATTAGAAAACATGGGGATTTAAAGATGATCTTAAACCAGTAATATGGTCTTATTGATGTAACTGATGAAACATTACTTTCCAGTGAAAAATATGTGCCTCTTGAAAATTGCTAAGTTTTGAGATCAGTGAAATTACTGGAAATGCTCCTTTGTGGGTTTAGAAAACTTCTTATGTCTTAAGCTGATAAAAACCCATGAAAATTTTCAAAAATTGTATTGCACGAAGCTTGAAACATGGCTTTTGGCACTTTCATAGCAAAGTTTGTTTATGCAACACCTTATTGGATCAGACACCATAAAGTGACAGTAATTCAAGACAGATTGAGATTTATCATGAGACTGAACACTCTCCGCGAGTCTCATTTCCTCCACCCCCTCTACCTCCTCCCACCCCAGGTGCAGGCTGCTATCAAGAGGAAGATGGAGAAGCAGAGGAAGCGAACCAACGAGCAGGGAGGGGGTGGTGGTGGCAGTGGAGACGCACAAACTGCTTCTACTCAGCCTCCTCCTCGCCATCAGAAATCCAGTCAGATCCCCCAGACGATGACAGCGGCGGCCGCTGAGGACAGGGAGATGCTGGAGGAGAAGCTGGAGGAGATGATGGAGGGACCACAAAGGAGAGAGAAGGAGAAAGAGAAAGAGGGGGAGCCCGTCGACCTGCTGCCCATAGTGGACTCTGTGTTTGGACAGGTAGGAGCCATCTGCTGCCGTGTGTGCGACTCATGAGTTCATCTGTGTGTCTCTGCATAGTGCATGCTTTTGTGTGTATATGAAAATCTATCTATATCTGACACCTCTGCCGCTTTGTGTGTGTGTGTGTGTGTGTGTGTGTGTGTGTGTGTGTGTGTGTGTGTTTGTGTGTCTGCGCGCGTGTGTGTGTGTGTCTGTGACTGTGTCTGTGTCTGTGTTTGTGTTTCATGTGCTGCAGTATCAAGTTTTCCAGCTGATTGAATGT